AAGAAAATGGTCCTCATTAACTGGAAAAATAAAAATAATCTTAATTCTAACCAATATAAAAACCATCTAATAGATCACATTAGTCTTGATACAGCTCTGCCATCACTTTGGGCTCCTTTGATCGCTTCATCACCTAGTGGGGGTGGGGTCATGGTTTGGTCCTGCCTTCACTATTGTGGTTGATATGGGGGTAGGGACGGCCTTAGGGCGTCTGGGGAGTCCCTAGGGACGTTTCCCTGGAGGGCCTAACCCGGGGGATGTGGCCATGACCTGGTTAGGGCTCTGGTGGCTCTTAGATGGTGTTTTCCTTGTGGCTGCGTACAGCGGAGATGGGGGAGGGTCTGTGCTGGCGGACGTTGGTTACTGGCCTGGTAGCCTGGCTGCCCCTGGGTGGGTCCGGGACGGGCGTGGAGGCTTGGGGGTCTGGGGGTGCTCCGCCCCCGGTCTGGGGTGCTGGCTGGGCCTTGGGGGCTTGGGTCCTGGCTGTTGTGTCGCCGGAGCTGTGGGCGGGTGGGTGCAGGGGGGCTCAGCCCCAGTGCAGGGGACCTCTGGTGCATCGGCCCAACTAGGGGGCTCTCTAACTGGTGGGGAGGTGTTATATCTTTGCAGGTGGTCTCCTCACTACAGGAGCTCACTCTGCAGGTGGGGGGAGAGATATAGGAGAGGTAGAGAATGAACTCAACCTGGGTGTCTATTGTCTTGTGTAGTTTGGGAGATGATTGGATGATGGGGTGGGTGCAGTTTTCTCTGGGGTGGAGTCGGGTGGGCTGCCCCGGACTCTGTGGGGCTGGGCGGTGCTGCTGCTGCGGGCCCCGGTCCGGATGGGCCTGGGCCCCCTTGCCCTGGTGGGTTCCAGAGTGTGGGGGTGCCTACTGGGGTCAGCGGGGGAGCTGGCCCCAGGGAGGGGCCGCTTGCCCCTCCCTTTCTTCCCTCCCCATCCTCAGCTGCCTCCCTATTCCCGCTCTACCACACCCACCCACACACGCAGGGCTTGGGGTGCAGGTATGTCACCAGGGTGCAGGGGAGGCACTCCCCCTCTGTCCCCTTCTGGCCGCCTGTGCCTCAATTTTATTCTGCAACCTAGACATCCACATTACTCACACTCTCACATAACACATACATATAGGGCCTTGGGGGTGGGCACGTTTTACAGCATCCAGAGGATGGTCGGTGTATTCCAACCCACCTCTGGCGCTGGTGCCCTACCCTCAATTTTAAATGCATATAGACACTGAGGTTTTCGGAGGAGCCGTGCTGCTCTCTGATAGGAAGCAGGAACATGCTCTCCTGTGTTTTAAATGCACTTTAGAACAGCACACAGCAACACTACATATGAGCGGGTAGGGCTGGGCGATATATCAAAAATTTATCGTTACCGAAATTTATGACTCTCATCGACGTCATTTTGCCCATGTCGGTAAATTCGGTATTTAAAAAAAAAAAGAAAAGGCATGTGCAGGTTGGCGATGTTCATGTCCCTTTAAGACGCTGTGCTACGTTACAGACTTGACGGGGTGGAGTCACATGACTCTACTACCTGTAACAAGACGAGACACGGGTGAACAAATGGAGGACGATTTAAATGTTGAAGCAGCAGCGACGGAGGTAGAGCTGGTGGAGGAGGAAGAGGAGACGCTTGTTAACAAAAAAAATGCATCATCAATCGTTTGGCAACATTTTGGATTCAACAAGGATGATATTGATCAAAAAATTGTTAAATGTAAACTCTGCAAAAAGACTGTTGCGTCAAGTCAAGGTAACACAACCAACCTCTTAATAAATAATATTTATTATTAAACTATTTTGTTTACAAGGGATACACATTTTTTAGAGAGCATGGTTACATATTGTATCCTACACTTTTTATTTTGTTCAGTTAATAAATCTTAACCACTAAAAGTACTTACTACTATTGTCTTCATTTATTTTCAGTGACATTTTACAGTCCTTTAAAGTGGTAATAATATAATTGCAATGAATAGGTCTAGGGGGAATAATATTATCAAAATAACTGGAGGAACTATGCTGCCTGCCACAGCCCCATCAAATGAAAAAAAAAAAAACGTTTGTTTTTTTTGGCACTTGGGGTGGTTATCGTCCATTTATCGTTATCGAGGTTAACTGCTCAATTTATCGTGATATTGATTTTAGGCCATATCGCCCAGCCTATGAGCGGGCGTAGGGAGGTTTGAGGTCTTCACTCACCCCGGTTCTGTTAGCCGTCAGGGCTGGGGGGCTGGGAGGAGGTGCTGGCCGATCAGATCTGGGGTCTGGGATGCGGGGCCTCCCTGCTACTGCAGATAAGGAGGTGGTCCGCTTGCCTCCACCCCAGAGAGAAGGGTTACATCTCCTGGGTCTAGGTGTGGCTTGCCCCTCTGGGGGCGGGGGTACCTGGACCTGGGATATAGAGTATGTTTGGGGAGTGGACTGTCTGTGCAGTGTCTATTTGTGTCTGTCTACACGTTGGGTGAGTGCCGAGTATTTGGTTGTGTATATGGGGGTGGGAATGCACGTTTGTGTCCGCGTGCGCCTGTTCGTCTGTGTCTATATGTCAGGTTGGGTCTTAGACTCAACCTCTCTGGGTACATCTCAGGCCCTCCAAAGTACGGAGGCCTATCTCCCCTCACCACACTCCCTACCGGTGGCTGATGCCCTCAGACGTTGGTGTTTGGTGGTTCTTGTCGACTGGGGCTGGGCGCTCATGTATGTACCGGCTCACTCCTGGTGGCCGATTGGCGGGGCCTGGCACCTGTGGGCCCCTTCCAGGGGGTGGGGTGCCCTCAGGCCTCTGGTCTCAGGGCCTGAAGCTCGGTCCTCTCTGGCACAGCTGGCTGCCGGCAGAGCCCGCGGGCACGCCACTGCAACCCCCTCTGGCCTCTGCTCCGTAGCTGCTGGGTGACCTCTCGTTTGGGGCTCTACTCAGCTCTTCCCAGGAGGGTGGCACGGTTCCCCCCCTTTTGGTGGTCCTCCTCGGGTCCTCGTACTCTGGGGCCTCTGGATGTCTGGGGCCTGGATCTCCTCCATACCTGCTTCATCCCTGGGGACGGGGCTATGGCTCCCCACACTCCCTAGCAGATCGTTACATGGAGAAACCTTTGGAATACAAGCATGCTGATCCACACAGGTATGCACACAGGTGTACACACGGGTGTTCACAGACGCGGACTACACCTTTCTTGGCTGCTGCCTCAAAGCACATTGTGCGCTGTCTATCTTGCGTGCTGCACAATATCGTTTATATTTAGTATCTACTGTTATCTACTGCTAGCTAGTTTATTGTGATGGTGCTTATTTTATTATGTTGCTCTTTTTGTTTGTTTCTCTTCTGTTTTTTTTTCTCCATACAGGTGATCCAGGTGTTTTGTTTGTTTCTTTCTTTCTTCCCCCCTTTCTCACCGTCTCTTCTCCCCTTTGGTTTTCTTTCTCTCCCTCTCTTTCTTTCATTCTTTCTCCCTGTCCTATCCCCCAGTCATGTCTGTCCCGTTTGTAGCAACTGAAAATAAAATAAATATAGGATGCAGCCCATGAATTTGGACACGACCAGTGTAACTGATTGTAAAAAGTCAGCACAACGAAAATATACATAACGTCTTACCTGACATTCAGTTCACCGGACACTCGTACCGGCGGCGTGAGGGGGAGGGGGGTGAAACCAGACAGAGAACCGCTCTCGGTGTAAGCCAGGGCCAGTCGCTTGGCGGCCGCCTCGCATCTCTCTTTTTCCCCATCTCCTTTCTGTCATACACCGCTGCCCTCCGTTGTAGCTCCGCGTTAGCCACCACCAAACAACCGAGTTATTTTTTCCGTTTTTACCGTTACTAAAATGAATAAATGAATCACCAGCCCATATAAATGAAAAATAAATCCAGCAGCCAACCAAGAGTCATCACGAAAGACTAGGGGGTGGAACGAGAGCGTGAGCCGGCCTGGGTGTCAGCCAGCCCGGCCTGGGTGTCAGACAAGCCGCGCTAGCCGGCTAGCTGCCATGCGGCGCTAGCAGTAACATCGTGAGAGAACTAATATGGGACTTCTTGATAAAACGAGCAGATATTTGAAGTTTACACACCTACATCCTCGCCTGAAAATGTCTTAAAAGTTTATTTTGCGACCTAGAAACACTAATAAAACACATATAAAATGAAATGGTGGCCGCCATTGTTTGACTCGGTAGAGGCGTGCTATGAATTGTGGGATATAGAGTTTTCCACCAAGCATACACCCTTGCGGTTACCGTAACTATTCAATGGTTCGCGCAACCTTAAAAATTCCAATGGCTCCTTAAAGCAGCGACGCTGTGTGCGCCGTTGATATTGTCGTCATTACGGTAATCCAAATAAGGGTAGACAGGCTGTACTACTGCTGGCATACCACTAGAGTGAGCCAACACACCACAAATTAAGTGAGTGAGCCAACACACCACAAAGTTAGTTAAGTTTCACTTTCCTTCCCATTCATTTCAATGGGCAAAAACTTGCATTAAAATATTCATATTTAAAAAACTATAGAAGTAATAAACACCAAAAGTCATAGCACACCATTCCTGATCCAGCCGCACAAAATTATATAACATATATGAAGCTTGTGTCAAAACTGTGGGATGAGTTACGTGTATATGAAGCTTGTGTCAAAACTGTGGGATGAGTTACGCGAAAAAATTTCAGGCGGAAAAAGGAAAATAATAATAATAATAATAATAATAAGAAGAAGAAGAAGAATAAATCCGAGAAACAGTAATAAGTGTGCCTTTTGGCATAGGCACACTTAACTAACCAGTAAACTTAAATTACACAACCCAAGCACTCAAAGACTCAAAGGGTCAAAGACAAAAGTATGGCCTGCCCTATTTCATTTTCACTTGACATTTATGATTTTAAAAATAATATCGTAACAAACCATAATCCTTTAAACTTTCAGACACATTCGTTTTTTTTTCTTATGAAATGAACAAACATTTGCTTGCCCTTTTAAATACTAACACAGATGCATTTGGGTTTTTACAGCTTTATAACATGGTCCCGTGGATTGGCAAATGGTTCTCTTACCCAAATGAATTCAAAAAAGCATTTGCAGCCAATAGGGAACAACAGAGGAAATTGGTGAGTCATTTGAAAGAAACTCTCGATCCAAAGATGTGCAGAGGATTTGTGGATGCCTTTCTGATTCACCAAGACAATTTGGAGGTGAGGAACACATAATTTATACAATGCTGATATTGTTTTTTAAAGAGCAATGGCAATAATGTGAACACGTTATCCTAACCTGGTGGTGCTTCTGCCCAACTGGTGAATAGAAATCTGTTTAACACAGCAATGTGAATCTGTGTCATAATCAAAAGCTTCAGCTGTTGAATAACTTCTGGTTTTATACGCAGAAATCTGGAATTACCACCAGTCATTTCCACAATGAAAACCTCTTGATAACAATAATGAATTTATTTGTTGCTGGCACTGAAACATCAGCACGCACAGTCACATGGGGACTTTTTCTTATGGCCAAGTATCCAAAGATACAGGGTAAGAACCTGTAAATGTTCAAAGTGCTTGCAAACAACAAAAATTTATGTTACACTGAAGTCAGATTTATTACATCCTTTGAGCCCTTTCATCTTCCAGAGAAGGTCCGGGAGGAGCTAAGTAGTGTAGTGGGAAATCGTCAGGTTCAGTTTAAAGACAGGACAGAGCTGCCTTTCACCAATGCTGTCATCCATGAGACACAGAGGCTAACAGCTGTTGCTGCCCTGGGGCTTCCTCACAGAACTTCACAGGACATTACCTTTAGAGGTCACTTCATTAGGAAGGTAAAATATATCAGAAAACAAATGATGTGTTTATTATATATTGAAGCTTAAAAAATAATCATATTTTTGATTACTAAAACATCGTCACAGATGTGGAAAAAGGGAGTTGAATGATTCTTTCTCTCAGTGTTTGATTATCAAATTGAAGATCAACATTTCATGGAATTTGCAGTAGTCAGCATGTTCCAGCATCAAGGAGGAAATATTCTGTGATCAATATTTATAGAATACAACAGTGTGAAAAATGTTCATCAGCTTGATTTTTTTAAGCTAGATTAAATGAATCAAGTAGGTTTTCAAAAACTCATTTTGTCCCAGATGAAATTTTGTTTTTAAGTCACAGCTAAAAAATAATATTTGATTTTTGTGTAATATCCTGTGAATACATATTAAAAAAGGGAGGAAAAAAGTTTGGTTTGTGTATTCAACAGGGGACAGCTGTGTATCCTTTCCTGTTTTCTGTTCTGTCTGATGAGAGTGAATGGGAGAAACCGTACACTTTTTATCCGGAACACTTCCTGGACAAAGATGGAAAGTTTATCCAGCGTGATGCCTTCATGGTTTTTTCTGCAGGTTTGTAATCAACTTCTTGTCATGACCCAGATTACTATCAGATAAAATGTAGTGTATTTTTTTGTTTTCTATTTCAGGTCGCAGGGTTTGTCCCGGAGCAAATCTGGCCAGAACGGAAGTCTTCATCTTCTTCACCACCCTTCTGCAGCGCTTCCGAATTACTTTTCCACCTGGAGTTTCAGAGGATGAACTGCTTCTATCACCATCTGATAGTCTCATCCTTAACCCTTCAAATGTTAAACTGTGTGCTGTCCCCTTGTGAGACACAGTGGGCTGATGTAATTAATTCTAAACAAGAAATATTTTATATAAAACAAGCTGTTAATGAAATAGGTAGAAGGGGTGGTGTTTCTTTGATTCTTCTTTAAGCAAGCAAAATCAGTTTGAGACTCCGAAAGAAACCTTCAGCACCACGAGGAGCTTTGTAAGGATATTTTTGATTCATGTCAATTAGCTTGAATAAAAATGTACACTTAAACACAAGAAAACGAATCGATGAGTGAGTGGAAAGACAAATTGATCTGTGAACTAATGATAATCAATTATAATCTTCATCTTTAGGAGCTGGTTAAAGCAGAGATAAATGTAGAATGCAGCTGAAATAAAGCAAAATGTAACTAACAAAGTGTGCAGGTCAGTACATAAAAGGTGTGGTTTGCCACTGTTAAAGTATTTCTGTATCAACCAACAACCAAATATATCTTTAACTTCAACCAAGTTCTCAGGTGGATTTTCTTGTACATTGCATACATGTGTTAATTGAACATGGTGACTCCCTTGTGGTCAGAGAAGTGACTCGTTCCAAGCAATGTGAGTTTCACTTGTGCTACTGTTATAAATGTATTTAAAGGTTTCTGACATTGTAGAATTTGTAGTATGTCAGGAGGCGGAGCAAGACACTTTGAATAACAATGATACACAGTGAGAAATATGAAACAATGATCCTAAAAATACTGGCAATTACCAGTGCTACCTTCCCAGCCTCCTCATATACACCTTTGGTATCAATTTCAAAATCCTGTATCACCTTGTTTCCCAGTAATTACATTCACAAGAATTTCAGAAAGCTTGACCTCTGACCTTGACTTTGAAGTCAACGTTACTGAGATTTAAACTCATCTAAGATTTTTAATAAATGCTAGTTCTCATACAGCACTTACTCTACCTGAACACTTAAAGCACTTCATGCAATTTGCCTCATTGCCCCATTTATACATGCATAAGTACCTTGTATCTAACATTCACACACATTCATAACCGATGATACAAGAAGAGGATAGGTTAATTGATCAATCTAAATTGTCCATAGGTGTGAATGCAGGAGTGAATGTGAGTGTGAATGGTTGTCTGTCTCTGTGTGTTAGCCCTGCGTCAGACTGGCGACCTGTCCATAGCGTGCCCTGCATCTCGCCCTATGACAGCTGGGATAGGCTCCAACAGACAGACCCAGACAGACTGTCTGTCCGGGACTGAAAAGTGGTGGTAGAAGAGAGACAGGGGCTCTTGTTGATGATAGGTGATTACTCACTCTTACTTTTTGTCAGTTAAACTACTTTGTAAATCATTCACACATCATTCCCATGATTTTATGGTCTAGTAGTGATCCACTGAAGTACATGATGTACTTTTTGAACTTTGGCTTGTTGTGAAACCGTTCTTTTTCTCAGTGTTTGCATTTAGGCCAAAGGAAACTCAGTAAGAGGTCATTGCCATTTTGTTCTGTGTCAAAGGCAATTCAAAAGGGGTTTATTTCTTTTTCCGAATCACATGATTGGCTTTGATATAACAAATAGTAATAGTAATAATGATAAAAACAGAAAGAACTAATTCAAATAATACAAAAAATGTGGCCTCTTTTAGTGCATGACATTCGGGAGTACATCGACTTTGGAACAAAAGCAGCAACACAGCAATATTTTTTCTCTTCAATTATAAATTTCTATTGAATTGTTGAATTCTTAACAGACCGACAGAAGTTTCTATGGCACACCTCTTCACCACATCCAGTCCCTGTGACTCATATGCTATCACAATAGTCACTTCTTAGTGTGAGAACTGCTAAGAAGACACAAGTTTTCTTCTATGACCACAAGTCCAGGAAATTAAAAGCTGGTTGCTTTTCTTAAAGCACTTAGTCTTGTCTAGATAAATGTATAATGCATAGACAGGAAAAAGTGAATTAAGTCACCTCTGGGGCAGCTATAGGTGGACTCTTGGAAGAGGAGATAAAATAGATGAGCAGCATTTGGTTTAAAGTTTTTTTTTTCTGTAGACAGCCAGCAGACGAGGGTGAAAAAATACAGTAGAAAGATTCTGTATGAATTCCACTTACATATAAAACAGCATACTGCTCAAATAGTATCAAGCAATGAATGTATTTGAGTCAAATAATAATGACTAAAAACAGAAATACTGACACAATCCAACCTCTGGCTGTTTGTAAGGCCCTAGTAGTCTCCCAGATGTTATCTCTTTCTTTAGAGAAGCTTCACCGGCTTGAAAGATGCCAGCTAAGGCATTACTTATCCTGCTTCTCACTAAATGTGATTTATGAGAAATCTATTACTAGTTTACTACTACTATCTGTTACTCTAGTTTCTCCTACTTTTCTCCCGCTCTCGCTCTCTCTCTCTCTCTCTCTCTCTCTCTCTCTATATATATATATATATATATATATATATATACATAAATATTTTTTATTTTTATTATAAAATCACAAACGAATTGTTTCGATTTAGAGTTATAACACAATAAAGTACAATTATAGAGTTAAGCATGTACAGTTTAGGACATCACTTTCTTTTTAAACATCTCAGATGTGTATTTTCCTGTGCACTTGTACACCTGTGTAGTCACCCCAATGATTGCAAGGAAGTAACTAAACCCAAGCAACCTAGGTTTCGCTCTTTTTCAGTCAACAGACATCACATTTCAAATGGCATTTGGTACATCAAATTATGTCTTACTGTTTTAACAGAATTTCTAACACTACAATAACAACAGATACTTTCTTCAAATTATAGATACTGCATAAAAATATGTCATGAATATTTATAAAAGATCTCATATCTCAAAGTTGAACATTGCTTTGAATTGAATTGTTTTTGAAATGAATATTCTTTAAATAAAAACGTTAACCATGGACAGGTAAACTATGACAAAAAAAACCCCCAAAAAAACTTGTCTCTTGTCTTTTTACTTCCCTGATGGAGGATGAGCATATCTGCATTAAAACACTTTCAAAATAAATCACTTCATTCCTCTCATATGTCTCTATACTAGAGATGGCACGATACCACTTTTTTATGTCCGATACCGATATCATAAATTTGGATATCTGCCGATACCGATATGAATCCGATATAGTGTATTTTATAATAAATAAAACTGGGTTTTTTAAATAAATATTTTGCTGCATTTTGTATAAGTTCATACTCAGTTTAAAAAAAACATTAAAACTATTCTGTTATACCTGTATGCAAAAAAAAATATTTTATACTTCAGCAATACTGATCAACCTAAAAAACTTACACCATCCTCTATTCTGGTTTTAAACAGTACTTAGGTAAATATTAAGCAACCTATAATAGGGTTCCAACTCCCAGCAACAACAAAAAAATAAAATAAAAAAAATAGGGAACCCCCCACCCTCCACCTCATGATGCTTAATCGAGTAATCAACTTTAATTTGATGCAGTGTGAAAAAAAATGCACAGAAATCAATTATTTTTCAAGAAATATTAAATAGATTCAACATCTTTCTTCAACAAAATTGCAGACTGCACAGATGGTACCTTCCCAAAGGAAAAAGTACTATAGCTTACTAGGGTATATATATTAGACTTAATAGTTACTATATACAGTAATGGACTTCTATTCATTTTACATCAAATTAAAACTTTGGCTGTCAGATAATTATTTATTAAAAGCTCGACATTTTAAATGAGAATAAGAAAGAAAAGTATGTCTTTGTGCCCCCTTTTCCCTGTTCATGCCCTATCGGCCCCCCTGGCTAAACTTTGCTAGATCCGCCCCTGCACAGTTACCGTCAGCTACGTAGAAAAAGATCCTGGTGTAGAAAGTAATATTAAATAAATTCTAACAACAGCTGATCAAGCTTAAACGTGCTGCTGTTGTTCAGCCGCTGGTTTCCTCTTTCTGGTGCAAAGTGGGCCAAAAACAAACAGAGACAGACTCCGACAGAAAAGCCGATCAGCTGATCATTAAGCAGTTTCATGATTGAAGTAGCAGCCGGAGAGCAGAGGCAGTCGCTCGTTAAGCTTAACGCAGGAATGCTTTACAAACATTCAGAGATGGACTTACACACTTGCTTTACTTCTCTCGGGATAACTTTGTCGGAGATGAAATGCCGGGTTGCTAGCGAAGCTCCACATGCTATCCAGACCACCGACAGGTCCGGCATGCCACAGCCGCTCTATCACGTGATGCATACTGCTCCGACGTGCTAACGTTCTGGGCGTGTTGCACGTTTTGTGAGGTGCTTTCGTGATATTTAATGGATCGGATTACATTTTTTATTTTTCTCCGATATCCGATCCAGTAATTTAGGTCAGTATCGGACCGATACCGATACGTAATATCGGATCGGTCCATCTCTACTCTATACTAGTATATGATCCATTTGTGTGATGCTAAACTACATAAAACAGGACCATTTGGACCTCTCACCAAAGAACAAGGTGGAGATTTACAGGTAAGAAGAAAAGGCAGTCTTGTTCTTCAAAATCAGTTTATTTCATTTCGCACTTCATGTGAGCTTCTCTGAAATAACAAAGAATAGAAAAAAACAGAAAGCACTAAAGGCTGAATTCCTTGACAGGCGTCAGGGTAGGACAACTTTGGAAAAAAATGCAACTTCATCACACGCAGGAAATAGCATCAAGTTTGTGAGGTGAAGGAATGAGGGTACTACTTGGAGTTCATCCTTTGAAATGCTAGGTGCAGGAGTGAAACGGCAGTGCTGTTTACACAAGTAAATACAAAGTGCATTTTCTAAAGTTTCTGTGTTTTATTATTAAGGGGAAAAAAATCCAAGCCTGTGCGAAAACGTGAATGTTCAGCCTATTTACATCGTTTCTTATTAGCTAGGCCCTGGGACGTAAAATGCCGGTTAACTGGTTAGATTTGTTTTCATATTCCACTCTCCATGTTCTAGATGTTGGATCCGCAGAATGGTCATTTTCAGTCTTCTCTGTCTGTCAGTGTGTCATGCAGTTTGACAAGATTAACAACCTTGGCAAAAAAGGGTGCCCATCTCCAGCTCATGCAAAAGCATACACGTATCAATGAAGCCCAAATGGTTACAATGATTTGGGCTTCATTAGTTTGTAAAGGCCGATCCATATGCCTATGATAACTATGATAACTAAAAACAGAACCATATGCTCATATTTTCATAAAAATCGGAGGATTGAAATGTTGTAGAAATGAAATAAAGGGCTGATAAAAAAAAAAAACCCAAGCAAACAAGAAACTACCCAAAAGAACTCATTTTTATAAAAGGATTGAGAAGATAGGACAACTTTGTTTAGACTGCCTCCTTCTTACATACAGGGAACAGCACATAGTTTGTGAGGTGAAGGGCTGAGAGTAATGCCCACAACTGCAGTCAGATCTAACTCTTCTTCTGAAACTCCAGGTGCAGGAGTGAAACGAAAATGTTGAAGGAGGGTGGTGAAGAAGAGGAAGAGCTCCATCCTGGCCAGACTCTCTCCGAGGCAAATCCTGCGACCTGCAAGAGAGAATTCATGAAACATTTCTGGCTCTCTTGTGAGTCAAAGTAAGCTAAACAGTGATGGCTGAGCTCACAAACCTGCAGAAAATGGAATGAAGGCATCTCGCTTGACAAACTTTTTCTCTTTGTCCAGGAAGTGAGCAGGATAAAAGCTGTGCGGTCTTTCCCACTCGTTGGGATCATGCAGGGCAGATGTCAAGAGAGGAAACACTGTGGTTCCCTGCACAAATTACAATACACAAACTGAAAATGCTTTTTATATGATACATTTTAATAGCTTACAGAAGTTACTTATGTTACTAATGTCAAACTTCTTCTAGCAAAGGTAATGAGGGGGGTTATGGTCAATGGCTGTCTGATCAGTATGAATATATACTTGATATTAACAGTATGTTACAAGCCATTTTCAGAATATCTTTAAAGGGTAAATTCAATAGTTTTATGTTAAATACCTTTTTAACAGTGAAGAAATATTAAATATACATTCTACTTAAGTAAAGATAGACATGGCAACCCCTTTTACAGTACAATCAAAAACACTGTAGAATACAAATCCAGTTACTAGTTTAACAACAGTATATATATATATATATATATATATATTTAAACTTTTTTATGGGTGATATTTCATTACATAATTTCCCATTTATTTTAATTTATTCTACCATAAAATTCGATACATTTTCCATTGTGTAATTACTAAAAGATTCTATATTCTATATTTTTATGGTAGTAAAAGGACATTTTGTTATTTAACTTTAAATTTGTTTTTCGGTCACCCCAGAAAATCACAGTTTATTACTCAAGGTGGAGTATTTGAATCAGCTGGGTATCCAGACAAGAGGGAAATACAAATCCAGATTAGTTGCAACACAGATTAATTGATCAGCATTTTTTTCCCTTTGCATATAGGCTGTGATCAGCAGCATATTGGTGAGAAAATACTTGTATTCTTCTATAACAGTTTTGTAATTCTTCTTTTTTTTTATTATTCATCTGCTGCCTTTAGCGCCCTCTTCTGTCACACTGTCTTCCTGCATGTCTTCCTGCACTGCTATCTTCATGTTTCCTCCTGCCTGCTCTCTTTTCACCATTGTCCAACATGCTTAATATCCCTCCTCAAACAAATGTATAAATAATCTCAATCTTGGCTCTTTGAATTTGTCTCTAAACTGCTCAGCCTGAGCCTTCCCTCTGATGTAATCCTTTATAATGCTGCCTTTTGCCAAATTAATCAGCATTTATTTACTTTAAATATAGCGTTTGATGGCCTGCATGTCGTTCTTGCACTCTTTTCTAATATTATTGTGAACAGCAGGCAACTTCCTCTTTTTTTTTTCTTTCAGCTATTCCCTTTAGCGCCCTGTTCTTTCACATTAACCTTCTGCATGTCCTCCTTCTTCACTATTTAAATACATCTTCTCTGTGGTCTTCATCTTTTCCTCCTGCCTGGCTGCTCTGTCTTCACCAGTGTCCAAAATCCTTAATTCCCCCACTCTGCATATGTCCAAACAATCTCAACTTTGCCTCTCTTACTTTGTCTCCAGAGTGTTCAAACTAGAATCCATCATATGCATTTAGGCTGACCTGCCTGTCGTCATGTATCATGGCCCCAACTTGAAAGGACATTGTTCATATTGCATTTATTTTTTCCATCAAGATATTTCTTTGGTATATCTTCGGTTTTCCATAGTAAGTGTGTTAGTGTTACCTTCTCAATAAAGTGACCCTGAAAAGTGATGTCTTGGGTGGTTTTGTGAGGAAGTGCAGTGGGGACGATGCTGCTCAGTCTCTGTGTCTCATGGATGACGGCGTCAGTGAAGGGAAGGTTTTTCCTATCGGCAACCTGCACCTGTCGATCTCCTATGACCCTCCTCAGCTCCTCCTGAACCTCATCTGAAGCATAAAAGAGTGCAGTGGACACATTCCCATTACCTGACTAAAACACTTCACTTATACTAAATAAATACATAAAAGCTTTGTGGTTCACTTGATCTTGTCTTTTTTTACTTAGGCTTCTCACCCTGTATCTCTGGATATTTGGCCATAAGCAGAAGTCCCCATCTCAGTGTAGTTGATGTTGTCTCAGTGCCGGCAGCAAACAGATTCATGACTGTCATCATAAGGTTATCATCATGGAAGTGACTTTTGGTAATCCCAGATTTCTGCAC